AAGTTTCCCTTTTATTCGTAAGCTTTAGAGACTGTTTTCCAGGACAAAAGCAGGTTAGCTACACATTTCCTTTTTTTTTGTGTTTTTTTTTTAAGGGGGACGTCGTGCTGGACTATTTCCTGGCCGGGTGCAGCGACTTCCCAGAGTCTCAGCTGATCAACAAGACTCTGCAAAGTCCTATTTCACCTGTTTTATCTGTTTCACCTGTTTCCAGTCTAAGCCGAGCTAACTATATCCCGGCTTGATCTTTTCATAAAACTCTTGGCAAGAAAAAAACAAATGTATTTCCCAAAATATCCCTCAGTCACTTCCGACTGAGACCAGAGCACATCTCTGCTGCTGCTGCAGACTTCAGCTCCAGAATACGGATGTGCCAGTAAACACACTCAGCGTGAATTCTGAGGCAGGACACTTCTGACAACCCAGCTGTCATCACAAACCCACAAAGAGCTGGCATAGCGTGGTACAGTACCTAAATCCTGACATGAGTGCAACTTCATGCAAAAAATAGAAAAAAAAGATCGAAACTGAAAAAAATTAATAAAATGCTAGCGCTAATCATACAAAAAGCAAAAACGGGGAAACGTGTGGTGACAGGAGGCCTCTTTTTTCCCATGTGTTTACAGTGTTTTATATACAGAACGATCTGCTGCGATGGAACAGTTGGGAGAGAAAGCACAGCAAGCCATTCCTTAGCAGTCATGAGGGAAATCATTGGGTAATAACAGCAGTTTTTTGTTTACAGGACAACATACACACTTGCTAATTAGACACATCTTGCTACCTGCAAGGTGTGAAGAAACGTTTTTTTTTTGTTTTTTTTTTCACATAGTGAAATCCTGTTAGATTACAGCATGCATTACTCTACGTGCTAATGCCAGGGGGGGTTCCTGTTGTTGTTGTTGTTGTTGTTGTTGTTACTGATTCTTCCCAGGTGATGACTGTATGTCCTTACAGGATGGGATGGTGTCGTCTTTCCCTCAGTGCTTCGGTACTCTCACTGTGCCTGGACAACACAAACACAAGAGCAGAGCCGCTGACAGTCTGCATGAATTAGTGAAATAAAATGACTCGGTGGCAATGTGCCACGATGCATTTGCTACTTTTGGATGGCAGCAGCAGCGGCGGTAGCTCATTTCAAAGAGCCAGACAAGTATATTATTCGTCGATAAAGACGCCATGCAAATATTTAGCTGCGGCAAACCCTTCCAAGCTAACAACTGAAGAAACAACATGTTCATTATTAGCACCAGCTGCTGTTTCTCTGTTTGGATGAAGTACTTGTGCTTCAGGAAACTTGTTTCTCAAGTTAATTTATACGGAAGCCAAGAACGGCAGCGTTTGCAATAATTTACTTTTATTTTATGATTCAGATTGACCATTTACCATTATCTCCAATAACTTATATGAGCATGACAACTGGTTAATTGTCTTGTTGTCTTGAGGTATGTTTTCCCCAGAAAATGGAATAATTAGCCAATTAACTTGAGAAATTACCTTTTGTTTTCTGGTGAAAACAATTTATTTGATTACGTCGCTAAACATGAGTTAATCGTCTCTGGAGAACAAGGTAACCGGATTTTTAAAAAATGATTCGTACAAGAAGCAAACAGCAATTTTCTCGACTTCACAATTTAATTATCCCTCCGTCTTTAGAGAGCACGCTGGTACGCGATACCGAGGTGGCACGGGAAAATTAAATTATTGCAACCACTCCTGCTCTGGGATTCTGTGATACGTTTTATATGCATAATGTAATATTAATTAATCATAAGTCCTACTTTTTGTTGTTCATTCTGCTTCAGCTGAAAAAAAGAAAGGAAATATTGTGTGTTTATGCTTTGGCCAATTGTTATGATCAATACAAATGTGTCTAATAAACTATTTCTAACGCTTCAAATAGGAAACAAGAGTATCGATAAGTACCTAAACCCACCTCTGTCTCCACCGTTCCTCATGTTGGTCTCCTCGTCATCTGCCCCATCATCCACTTTAAGAGCACAAGCCAAAAAGTCAGTGAAAATGCACCTCAAGATGCAAAGGTAGCAGCAGTAATCATACAGATGATTTGAGATTAGAGAATATAATGGAGGTGAGAGGAGCAGCCTATAACACCAACCTGAGTGCAGCTCTTTCACCAGTGATGACATGGTGTTTGTGATTGAGTCAGCAGCAACTAAAAGATCATTCCGAAGATTTCTAGGTACACCTGAGAGACAGAGACAGTTTAAAATTACAAGTTAATACACATTCAATATAAGCTGAGCCTGGTGTTGGTATCACTGCTTTATGAGGGATTTCAGATTTTAGATTTAAAGTCCCCCTACAGAGAAAATCAAGTTGTTTTTTTTACTTTGTCAGCATGTCAATATGGTGTGTTTTTATACGCTAGAAGACATATCATGAGCCAAATCAGCAGTAAGCACCATGGCTGAGCATTTCCACCTTGTCATGTACCAATGACAGTTTAAAAAACACAGATTCAGACTTTCAGGGGTTCATATATAATAAACATAAGGAACAAATCCTTCCAGCTGTCTGCATCATTATTATTCAAATCACTTTCAAACCTGTATGGCTAAATCACTCCAACATTACAACTTGGCACTTGTTTACATTATGTATTTTTATGCCCATTTTAAAGCATCACACTGGAGAAAGGTCATTTAAAAAAGGTAAAATAAAAAAAAAACTAACAAAAAAACTCAATTATGCAATAAAAACGTTTGTTAAAGGTATTTTTTTTTACATTCTCGAAAAGAGTCAATGCACAGCTGTTTCCGCTTCTTCTATTGTGTTCACATGTCTGATACCAATTGACTTGAAAGACTAATTAAACTAAATACTTGAGAAATTCTGTTTGTGTTTCTGTTGTAGTTGGCTAACGTTTAGCTTGTTTTTCTATTTATTTGAGGTTTAGCAAACAGCTGGTTCTGCTTCCAGCTTCTTCTGCTCTGTTTATCACCACTGCTGCCTTCTGACAAAACTACGCAGCCTAGTTAAGGGGAAAAAAAGCCTAATTTGCATTTTCTTTGTTGCAACTTTTCAGAAATTTGCATCAAATTTGCTTGACATTTAAATGAAAATGGGCTACTGTGTAGTGTAGAGCAGTATTACAGTGTTTAAGCTGAGATGAGCTGGTGTGCTCAAGCTGCAGTGAGTGGTGTTGGTGTGGATGCAGAGAAAAGCAGAGACTTCATAGATCTTGCATTCTAGATGACGTTACAACTGAGCTATTTTAGGGCAGAAAGGGATTATTTTCAAACTTGTATGAGGGTACTTCAAAAAGTTCTCAGCCTCACCTGGAAACGACGGGTGTAACTCCCATTTTGGGGCACAACTGTAAACTATAAATCCTTTTTATCACCGTCCACAAAACATCACATGTTAAAAGCGATCAAAGAAAAACAGGTGGTGAGCTGGCTGACTTCTATCTGTTTCCCAAACTGAAATCCCAGAGTGATGAGAAGGTCATGCAAGCTGCTGAGGAGCATCTGGAGACTCAAGATGTGACCGTCTTCCACGAGCAGATCGTCACCATTGAAGTTAAAGTAAAAAATAATGCAAGAACAATCTTCCTCCCGTTCTGGTGAAGCTGCGAGCTTTTTGAAGCGGCCTCATACGCAACGTTGATGGACACAGATAAGTTTTTAGTGGTTTAATCAAGAGAGACTTTAAATACACCACATGGAAAACATTCATCAAGTTCTGACACCTTTTTAACTCCACGCCAACATTAATTACTCATAAGTTTCCACACGTTTGCACACAGATTTGCTCTTTCTTTCAGGTGTTGGTTTAGACTCACCCTGAGCGAAGGCCTCCAGCACGTCCCCTCCCACCCCCGCCAGGCAGTCCTGCGGTGTGTGGGTCGGGGTGGACCCAGCCGAGGTGGAGCGTATGGGCATGGGCATGGAGCAGCCTGCACCGTGGCTGGGAGAAGAATGAGGGGAGCCTCCAGACTGGGACTGCAACGGATGGAAACAGCCGGGATAGTTAGGGTACGATCGGCACCAACCTCATGCATTCACCAAATGGTAAAAGTTTTGGTTTAATATGAAAACACAAGTTGTTTCCCCTCACTAAAGGAATAAGTTATGTCTCTGAAAAAAATCCATCTCCTTCTATATTTACCACACAGACAGACTTGGCCATATTATTTCCCAAAACTATTTTAAACTCATCCCATAATTCTGCTTTAATGACTTTTTAAACAATCTCGCAGTAATTCAATGGAGCTGGTCTGGAACCACTTGCATGAATTTGATGTAGTCCTCATTCCTCAGTCAATAAATGCTAATAAGAATGAGATCCATGCATTATATTTATTATTTGAAGAGACTAGCGGCCCACTGTTACTAGGACACAAATGAGATGGAATATTTGGTTAGTTTCGTGACATACTGCGCGGTCCTTCCATGTGCAAACCTTTACCGAATCTAAGCTTCTGACAGAGAGGAAAAAAAAAACGAGACTCAAATCTCAAATAATCTCTACATCAACAAAGCCAATCCCGCGTTTCAATGGAGGACGCAGTCTTGCGATCACAGATTGCGGCTTAAAGGAGAGATGGCCTTTTTGCTTCTAAAGGTGACTTTTATTAAAACAAACACAGACACAGATGTGACTAAAAGAACTTAATCCTTACGGGGAGAACAAACAAAAACAACGGAGGGGGAAAAAAAGAAGTCTTCTGGTAATCCTACACTGGCTGTCTGCGTCTCTGTAGTGCACCTTCGCAGCATCGAGGGGTTAATGAGAACCATGCGTGGGTGTGCAAAAAAGGGGCCTGTGCTGAGTCGGGAGCAATATCTCATAGAGAAAGGATCACTGTGTGTCTCTGGGACTGGTGCAGGCCCAGGTTGGTGGCTCGGAGCCAGGCAGCAGATGGCCAGCCAGACTGCAGTCACATTAGAAGGGAGGTTGTTAGCGCCGATGAAAGGAACAGGTCCCTGACATTTGGACAGAGAAAAACACAGTTCTCTCAACTTGGAAAACTGGTTTTGAAAGATTCGCGATGGTGGTGGAGCGGCGCTGAATTCGACGACCAGATCGGCGTAACCGAGTTAGACGGTGCGAATCCTATCATCTTCCCTAACGGGCCGACTTAAAAGGTGTTATAAAAACTTCCTTCAATCACATCTGTGTGAAGACGGAGGGAGAGTATGGAAGCATTAGACTAAGTGATGTGACTAGAGCCAGGTATCGAGCCTTGCAAACTGAATTAAGGGCAACTTACAGCCTGCTTCTGCTCCTCATCCTATCAGCCAGCAAAGGTAAGCAGAGAGAGAGAGAGAGAGAAAGCAAGGAGAGTGAAAGCAACAGAATTAAAGCAATGAAAGAAGAAGAAAAAGGGAATTTCTGCAGGAACAGTCAGCAAAGATCACTGCAGTATCTTTAAAGAATTAAACACACAAAACAGCCCACTAAGCTTTAAACCTGAATTATTAAAAAGGTACTGACAAAACCTGTAATATGCTGAAGAAGAAGAGCAGATTTAGGACATTTAACGTGTATCTTGGGATGTTAATACCGAGGTCTTAAATCTTCTTGAAAAAAAGGTGACGTTCTCACCTTTAGCAGCCTCATGAGTCCCTCCAGCTGCACCATCAGCTCCCGTCTGCTCTCCTGCAGGGCCGACATGCGCCTCTCCAGCTCGTCCTTCCTGTGTCTGAAAGGAAGAACAAGAAGTTTATAAGTGCAAGTTTCTAACTCATCCACAGAGCAGATTATTATACAAAGTGCTTTGGCTGGTGACTTATAGTGCAGACAAATATGCCTCGAGTTCATTCCCAAAGGACGATAGCATCACTGAGAACTCAAAGCGATTCAGTTATTCTGGATCAGTTATTTAGATTACTTATGTCGTCTGTGAGCAAACAAAAAATAATCATAAACTTGCATTTTGTGTAGATTTCCTTGCAGATGCCAGATTTGCCTTGAAGTCTAATGAATAGCAGCAGCTGCACAAATAGTTAAATGTATGTGGAGTTAAATGCATTTGCATCAATTACATCAGCCCACTGCAAAGCACAAAGCTCATGTTGCTCAGATGTACTAAAGTAAAACTTCTCTGCTGGTCTTATGTGCACCGGTGCCATAAACACCTTTACTGTGATTATTATTCTGCCATATGTTCCCTGAAATCTACAAGAAATGATGTCTTCCTAAAGCAGGGGTATCAAACTACAGGCCTGGTGGTGGACTCCAGTTCTGGTGTTTCACTTGTTAAACCAGGCACACAAATTCTTATTTTTTAAATGTTTTTCTCAGCATGATTTGTCTTCAGTCTCCTATTTAAGAGTTCATTAATTACTTTTTGTCTGTCATTTTATTTTTTTGAATTGATTTTTATCAATGCTTTTGTTATTTTTAAGTTTATTTTGCTAAAGTATTGGCTCTGAAAAGTGCTCCATAACTCAAGATTAATACTACTATTAGCCTGGAGCATAAAAATGGGATTTTATTTAATTAGCTGCAATATTGTTAAACATAAATACTTCAACTTGTGACCAACTGATCTCAGGGTTTCCTGTGATTCACCTGACACCGAAATGTCTCTTTATGAATAAAAAGTGACCTTGCGATTTCAAAGGAGCTACAAAAAATATTATTTTTCTCATTTCTAACAACTATTTTACGTCTCATCTGCTGCTGCTTTCCAGGAACGCAACATAAACAGAAGCACGACCCTGCTCAACCTGGAGAGAGAAAGTCTAGTCGCTCAGCTTCACTGTGTTTAAAGTTTAAACTGGCTGCTGAAAAATAAACTTTTTCGAGTGTTTAAGTAGCTTCTCCGGGAGCACAAACCCTGCCCTGGAGTTATTTGAGTCGCAGACCCCTGTTAAGTGATCTGCAGCATGTGGACGTCTGTTTTCTGTGATGATTCTGGCTTATTGTCACCCTCTGGTGTTCACAGTATGCAGCTGTTTTTGGAAAAAGCTTCAGAAACCAAAGCAAAATCATGTTTGACTGAAGTCAGCCTTTGAGAAACTCAAAGATATCCACAGACTGCTTTTTATCCTTTATCCTGTGGCTCAATATTGGAGCCATCTAGCTGATCATATCTAATAGTTATGAGAACTAACACAGGCTAATAATGCTTGAACTAAGCTTAGAGAAACAGCAAGTGGAATCCATTTATTCTCCAGTTTTATGCAAAAACTAGTTGCGCAACACTCACAACATGCCAAAGAGTGGCTGTTTTTTGTGCACAAACTAAGAAAACACCATGTAAATTAATGCAAATGATGAATCTCAACTGTAAAAGTAAGAATATATGTAATTTTTGCAACAACTGTTGACCTTCAGCGCTGCGTCTGATTCATTATTCAGGCCAAACCAGACAAACAAGGAGTCCTTCAGGGCAACAAGTGCTGTAGCTCGTCCTCTCAGGGTGAATCTCTTCCAAGAACCGAACCCAAGGGTCCCAGTGTCCTGCCAGCATGACAAATGCCCGCTCGGCTGCCGCTAGTGAAGCTAATTCAAAAACATCCTCCCGAATTAGGGGGACGTTATTTCTACTTGAAGAATGAGTTCAGCGGCCCTGATGGTTGTTTTTTTTTTCTGCTTGAATTCCCTAATAAATGGCTGCTTGTTCCCTGCATTGGGTAGAAAATGCATTTATAGAAGTAGTGACAGCGGGTTGATACCTGAGGAGCCGCAGTTCGGTCAGAAGCGTCGGGTTCTGCTGGGCTTTTTCTGGTGTCGGCTGAGAGGCCTGTTCATGCTCCAGACGCAGCCTCTGGATCTCCTGCAGGATCTCCCTGGAAACAGCACACAGGAGCAGGTTTATTGCTCAGTAATAATGTAAAACTACTTTCACACATACTAACGTCATTAGTGGAAATTCTCACCAACAAACTGCACCTAAAGCATCAAAGGTATGAATAAAGCTTAATGATTGCTTTTTTTCATTAAATATATGATGCTGTTATATTGATGCATTAACATGTAAGCAGCCGTTTAAATTCAGAGCCGGTTGAGGAACAGTTTAATTAGCCAAGCTGCATGCTGTAGCCATATATTTACTGCATAGATGTGAGAGTGGTATTGATTTTCTTAACTAACTCTGCAAGAAAGCAAATGTGCATTTTCATAAAATGGTGCACTGTTGCTCTAACTGTTTGCTGCTACAATGCATCATATTTCTAAGTTCATCATCAGCTTTGCATGTCAATCTTTATCTGCAAACTTTCTCTAACCGTGGATGTAAAGAGAGTGTAAATGAAGCGCCTATAACTGCACCTAAACACAAACTTTCATCATATTTACTGCCAACTGCCCACTTAAAAACACAGATTTGTCTCCCACATGTGTAATGTGTGATTACATGACAAACGGAACCTGTTTTTGTTCTCCAGCTCTGCAATCAGCTGTCTCTGCTGCTTATTGGCGTCGAAGTTGAAGCTCAGATCCGATGGAGGACACTGTTGCTGAAAAACAAAATTACCATAGAATGGCATTAAAAACGGTGGGAGAACAAAAGTCAAACGCAAACAGCTTCCGTCTGACCACAGCGAGCAGTAATGATGCTCTGCTGGAGATTTATTATGCTTCTGCATAAACAGGGAACCATTTTATTTCACCACGGCTTACAATCATCCCTCCGTATAACAGCCAGACAGCAAAGCAGGAATCCAAACAAACCCGGGCAAAGCCTCGTGATAGATCGCTCGTCATGCATGTTTGCTGGGCACTAAAACGTGTTTTCTCCATCATCTTATTAGGATGGAATTCTGTTGTTTTGAGTTAGCATTAGGATTTCTGTCAGCGTGTGAGGAAATAATTGCAAAAACACCCTGAAAAACACGCTCAACTGGCGAAGCATGTGGAGCAGCTCTTAATGTGAAACTGTCATATACTCTTTGTTCATCAAAAATGCGTCTGTAAAACAAGGTAGCTGTCACTTTCATTGTTTTTTTTTGATCACTCAGTCGTTAATTTCTGCAAGGAAGTAGCGAGCTGCATCCCTCCGACTGTGTTCAGCGTGAAACTAGATTGCATATTACATTACGTAAACTTGCAATTATTATTAACAGACTTCTTCATTAAAAGAATGTGATTTTGTTTGGCTGCAGAGCAAACAAACGCACCAGTTGGTCTATTTCTGATCAAGTAGCTGCTTGAGGAGCATTTGCTGTGTTACGGAGCCAGTAAAAGTATTCACACCCCCCCTGGAAGTTTCCTCCTTTTATTGCTTTTCAATACTGAACCACCGTCAGTTTAATTTGGCTTTTTTTTGGACAAGAATTTACCTCGAAAGAGACTCTTTAATGCCAAAGTGAAACAGATTTCTACAAAGTAATGCCAATTAATTAAAAATATGAAATGGACCTGATGCTAGACGTCACACAGTTTGTGTATTTTCAGTATCACAGGTAATATAAAATGTTTGTGTTTAATGTTTTGATCACATGTGCATTATTTTACTTTGATGTACAACACCGTCAGTGTACGGTGCAATATTTCATTATCATGTGTGGTATTACCTATTACCTCATTATCATTACCAGAATTGCTTTTCACCTTTCTATTGTAGTTCCTTATAATTAGCTTACTTATTATATTTTACTACTGTATTGTACTTAAATATTGTTGCTTCTCTCGTAGGCACTGCATCTACTCTCATGTTATGTCATTTTGTTTTTTCTAAGCAATATCAGGCACAATAAAGTTTTATCTTATCTTATCTGAACTTAACTGAACTGAACTTAACTG